GAGGGCTGAGCAGCCAAGCAGAAAAGTATATGTGAAGCCAGAGGCATTATCAGTTGCCTAAGGAGACAAAATGAGCTCTGGGGACAGGCCGTGGGGAAAGGTTCAGCAACACCACAGAACTTCTGCAGAGATCCAGAAGAGCTACACAGGTGGCATATTAGAGCAGTGTGTACCAACTCAGAAAAGCCGACTGTGTACATTTCTTCCCATTTCCATGTTCAGTGATGTCACGTAGTTTGAAACTGGCAACAATGTAAGTACCTGTATTTACACTGTAGAAAGTGGCAAATGCTATAAGTCAGAACCCCTTTCCCAAATGATCAGTTGTTTAATACTTGCCAGCAGATCACTGGTTGCATTAAAAAAGTAAGGACATGCCAGAAACCAACCATCCTTTAGAATGACTAAACATCAGTTTCAAAAATCAGTACCAGATTAAAATAATTAGTACTCATCTTCTTGCAGAAGCAATATTAAATGCCCCCTAGAAGGAGATACCTTAGAGTCTAGAATCTATTTTTTTCTTTGTTTTTGTTTTAGAAACAATGATTATCATTCAATATAAAAATTACTGGATACATAGACAGAGAGACAAATGATCAAAATCAAAAGAACAAAACAAAAAATACAAGACAAACAGACCAATATTAGATGCAGATATTAGAGGATTCCAAGAAGACCTTAAGGTAACTGAGTTAAATATAAAATAAAATGAAAATAATGTAATCAGAACATTATGAAATAATCAAACTGTAATTCTAGAAATAGAAAGTAAACTAAATAATATAGAAATGCCATAGATGGATTTGCCAAGAGATTAAAAACAGATCAAGAAAGTATCAGTGAATTAGTAAAGCACTTGACAAATCACCTAGAGACACAGACTATAAAGGAATAGGTATTATGATGAGGCCCAAAAGTCTGCATTTTAAGTGGTCTACTATTGACTGGATCTTGGATATTCCATAAAGGCCATTGCTAAAGATTTGGTCAACAACCTGAGGCACTACTGGAAGGTGGTGGAACCTTTAGGAGGTGGAGCCTAGTGGGAGGAAGTTAGATCATTGGTGCTATCCTGTTGAAGAGGATGTTGGAACCCTGCACTTCTCCTGTCTTTTGCTTTCTGGTTTCCAGGAGGTAAGCAGCTTCTTACCATGCATTGTTTCCATGGCTTACTGCCTTTTCCCAGGCCCCCAAACAATGGGCCAATTGACTATGGTCTGGAACCTTGGAAACCATGAGCCACAATAAATCTTTCTGGCCATGGTAGTTGGCTTTTCTGATTTTTTGACAAAAAAAAAAAAAAATTGATAAAAATAACTTAAAGGGGGAAGATTCATTTTGGTTTATGCTTTCAGAGGTTTTGGTCTACAGTTAGCAGGCTCCTTTGCTTTTAGGCTTGTGGTGAAGCAGAAACAGTATGGCAAAAGTGTGATAGATGAAAGACGCTTACTTCATAGCAGCCAGGAAGCAAAGAGGATAAGGGTCCAAAGTAACAGGCTGGAGACCAGATATAGAGTATTACTCAAGGCCATGCTTCCAGTACAGAATCCCTTCAACTACGCAAACACTTCCAGAACAATGAAGAGGAAGAAATACTTCCTAACTCATTCCATGAGGTCAAAGTTACTTTGACACCAAAAGAAAAGATATTGCAAGAAAGCTGTAGATCAGTATTTATCCATAAATCAAAATGTGAAAAATCTTCACAACATATACCAAAAAAACAGAAACACTATATCAAAGTTGCATATTATGAGCAAGAGAAGTTTATCCCAGGAATGGGAAATGAATTTAAAGTCTGAAAAATCATTTAATACAGTTCACAATATGAACAACTTAGAACAAAATTCAAACTATATCTTTATTTCAACAGATGAGAAGAAAGCATATGATGGAGTTCAATTCCATTCATGATGAAAACACACCTGTGCAGCTGAATATACAAACTCTGAGAAAATAGAAAAGCTCTCAAATTCCCACACTACTATGCTAACTTACACACTTAGTGACAGAATTCTGAAAACTTCCTTTGAATTGGAAATACAACAAAGATGAACAATTCTATTGATCAAAGTACTGCAAATTTTGGTCACTACAGTAAGACAAGAAAAAGAAATAAAACTTATGAAGATTAGAAAGGAAAAAAGGAAACTTTAACTATCAGATAACTTAACTGTATATGCAGAAAATGTGGAAGAAAAACTTTCAGAAAAATTATTAGAATGACCAAGTAAATTAAATGTACATAAAATGTATTTTAATCACACTTCTAAATAGCAACAATGAAAAATAAATCTAATACTTTAAATGATATGTGAGAACTTGTATACAGAAAACTATAAAATATTACTGATACAAGCTAAAGATCAAAACACATGAAGAAACATACTTCATTCAAAAAGAGAAAACTTGATATAATTTCAATGTTAACTGCCCTCAAGTTGATCAAGAGAGTTACTACCATCTTAATTAAAATTCCAGCATGATTTCAGGTAGTATTTCACAGGTTTTGAAAAGCAAAAACAAAAATAGAATAATTTTCAAGAAAAACCAGCTGACAATTACATTGCTATTATTAAGACTTATTATGAAATTATGATTGCTAATCCATTGTATTGGTAGAAAGATTAACAAATAAACCAAAGGATCAGAAAAAAGTGCTCCAAAAGAGACCCAAATATGTTCAGACACCTGATTTATTATAAAGGTAACCAAGCAGAGCAGTGAGGTAAGAATGACCAACTCAAATGGATACCTTTAAGAGGGAAAAATCCCAACATCTGGACTTTCCCTTATGCCTCAAACACACCTCATATCTTAAATAAAACTAGTTCCAGTTGGACCACAGATATAAAGGTAGGAGGCAAATTGGTAAAATTTCTTGAACAGGACATTGAAGGGTAGCTTCATGATGGTGTGGAAAAGGAAATATTTGTCAGATAGTTCACAAATATAAAAAGGAAAAGAAGATAATCTTTACTATAATTAAGAAAGTCTAGCGTTCCAAAAAGTACCATGATAAGAGTGGAAGAACAGTTTACAGAAAGAATGAATAAATTTAAATTAGCATGACTTACAAACAATTTATTTCCGTAATACATACATAACTTCTATAAATCAGGGGTAGAGGAACAAATCAAACTAATAAATCCATTGATAAGTGGGCAGAGGATCTGAGTATGTACTTCATGGGAAAGGATATTCAAATAGACAGTAAGCATATTGTTGCACTAGTTAACGGGGAAATAAAACAAACCACAACTAGATTACATTACATTCTCATCAGTATGCATTGTGTTACCTTTAAAAGTATAACAAGGCCAGGTGCTAGCAACTACATGGAGCTTTTAGCATTTTTATACATTGTTGCTGGGAGTGTAAATTTATTCAACTATTTGGGAAAACCACTTGGCAGTATATAATGAAGTACCTCAACTGCATTTCCTATGATGTAGCAATTATATTCCTAGCTAGACACAGCTGAAATGTTTACACACCAGTGAAAAAAGATAAAAACAAGTATGATGACAGTTGTACTGGTAGTATTAGTAATACTAGGATGTTGAAACTGTCCATTTCTCCTTTGTAGGATGGATAAATTACGATGTATGCATGTAATAGAACATGATATAGCACTGAAAATCGATCAATTGCAGTGAATTTCAAAAACATACACCAGACTCAGCAACAAAATGTTAAGGAAAACAAATCCAAACACTGATAAATCCTTTCACTTATATCAAGTTTAAAACAGGTCAAACTCATGTACAGTGTTCAAATGAAGGAAAGTGGTTTCTTTTGCAGCTGGCAGAGGATAGTCATCCATTCATAGCACGGCATGACCTGGCTTACAAATAGGTTCTATTTCTCTGTTTGGTTACACCTGAGCATTTGCTTTACAAGAATGTACATCTGCTGTGAATGATAGTAAGACTTGTGTACGGAAAATGATAAAGCATTACTTTTTTTGCTCTAGTTCAAAAAACTATAGAGAAGCAAAGTTTTAAGACAGAATGGGTTGAAGCATGACAGTAAGCACATCAGAAGTCAGGGATGAAAACAGAAAATGAATACAAAAGGGTAAGAAGGAAACTTGGCAGGCTGGTGAAACTGCTCTACACCCTGAATGAGTGTGATATAGTTTATAGTACTGTGCACATTGGTCAAAATGCATAGGACATACACTAAACAGAGTGAATTTTGTTGGAACATATACCATACCCTCAATAATAAACAATTTCAACATCTTCTTGAAGCTAATTTTACAATTTCTCATGTTCAATCAATGCATCTAGAAATGAGTATTTATTTTGAGACCATTAATTTTTGAGGCATCCTGGGAAGCAGTTTGCCTTCACTAGATCTCAAGCTTATCACATTCGAGTCATGTTATTCTATTGTATCTATGAACATGAAAGGATGAAAGTAAATTGAGTTTCAATGTGAATACAACACACACCTGGTACAGATGGATGAACAGGCAGTCACCAAATCTCTCCCTTGGAGAAGTAGGAAAACCACAGGACCTCCAATTTATGAAAAGAGCCTCTGAAGAAGCAGGGAAATGCGAAACCTTTGCTCGGAGATACTAATTTAATTGTATATGTTTACTGATTTTTCAGTGCTGGGGGTTGAACCCAGGCATTCTGCCTTCTCAGCAAGCTCTCTACCACTGAGTAACACTCCTAGTCCATGTTCAGACGTATTTTGAAACTTAAAAGATCCAAAGATCTATCTTATATATCCAGGCAAATGTCCGACAGTAATTAATAGTTTTTTGTTCTTTTCCATAGTGATATTTAAGCCTCAGTCCTGCATAGCAGAAAAAGGTGATATTTAGCCCCCTTTTACCTCTTCCACAGCCTCACCACTGCACATTTTCCCCATATTTTGTGGCTAAAGGGTTACACTCTGAGCAAGTGGTGCTGGCCATGCAATCCAGCTGTGTTTGTACAGAAGTTGGCATAAACTAATACTTCACAAGGAAAAACTCTCACCACTTGTGCTGGAACTTGTTCCATTTTTGCAGCAGGAGTTCCTGGTCTTGGGTAAAACTGGTTAATGAAGAGGCTTGGAAATTTGTACTCTTCAACGAGTTTCACTGTTTCTTGAAAATCCTGATCTGTTTCTCCAGGAAAACCACAGATAATATCTGTAGCAATAGTTATTCCAGGAACTCTAGAAAATAACAGACAAAAATATAAAGAGTTGACAATAAGCCATAATTATTCTATTTCCCAGACATTTTAAATACCATTAATTTCAAAATTACATTTTATTTTTAGGAAAGAGATACTTGCAAAAGCACAAAATACTAAACATTTCCAAAGAAAAACAGTGGCCCCTTGTCATCCTCAAAGACTCCCATTTTTAATTCTTTTTAGATGTTTCTTTATTCCTTTCTCTGTATTTTAAAATAGATGTTTATTCTGCTGTTTCTAGATTTACTGAATCTAGGCAACATTTACTGACTATTTTACTATGGTAAATGAGATTTAGCTCTTAAAGTAATCTAACCCTACTCTAACCAACACAATCAGCACACAATTTCCAGGTGAATTAATAGCACTTTCAGTGGTACAGCTGAAAAGCTATTGCTCACTGCAGAGTCAAAAAAAAAAAAAAAAAAAAAAATCAAGTTTCGTTTTTTCCACAGTTACTTTTTCCTAGAGTTAATACTTGCCTCTTAAAACTTGCTGAATATTCTATATTCCTATGCTTATGTTGTCCAGATGTTCCATCAGACCTTTCAAGAACCAACACTATATTCTAAACACTCAGTGTATTATATAATTCACCCCCACTCCCCCCGATTTTCTGGAATTCCCCTTTCTACTTTCCACAGGTGTGTAAGCTTTTACTATTAACTGGCTGTTATCCTCAGGTGGTGCTCCTTGGTCTCCTTTCGTTCAACACCTTTTCCTGGATCCTGAATCTTCATTCTTGAGTAACTCCCCTCTCTGCTGCAGTGTGCTTTCACTGCAAGCATGCTACTGTTGCTATCTCTTAACAGCTCTGAGCATGTCTGTAACCACACAACTAACCGTAGGGCTGTGCTAACACTCACGAGACTATCCCTCAGAGCTCTGCTGTCTTCCGTTGCTGTTGTCAGTGTTCTACCTATGTTTACTTTGATGTACATTTTTTTCTTCGCTTTCTTTCCTTCTTTCTGGTTGACTGTCATGGTGATTGAACTCAGTGCCTCACACATGCTGAGTGACACACCTAGACCCATACATTACCGTGTATGTGCTACACTGCTTCATTTTGCAGAACGCAGAATACTAACTTTATCCTCAATGTTTTTAATGTTCATAACAATATGCCTTGGGTTAAGTCTAAATATTTGTACATGGAACAATCTGGAGATCATGTTTCTACAATCTAGGAAACTGTCTTATATTATTTAAAAATCTTTCCTTTTTTTTTCTTGCTTATGTAGTTCAAGGCAGCCTTGAACTCACCATGTAGCCCAGGCTGACCTTGAACTAGAAGTTATCCTCCTGCCTCAGCCTCCCAAGTGAGTTCTGGGATCACAGGCATGTGTCACTGTGCCTGGCTTAATTTTTCTTTCTTAGGGACTCCTCCCCTTTGAACGTAGAAACTACTAGGTCAGCTTTTCCTCTATTTTCCATCTTTGTCTTTTTATTCTACTTTCTGGAAAATTTAATTAAGCATATCTTCCAAACTTCTAGTTAAAAAATTAATTCAATATTATCGTTTAAAATTCTCTGTTCTTCAGTTTTCATTTTGATATCATCCTGTTTTTGTTTTCGAGATGTAACATATTTTTCTTATTTATCCAAGGATATTAATTAAAAGTTGTCCCAGTTTTTCGGCTCACACAATTATACCTATTTCCTCCAGACTCTCGTCCTTGCGTGTATCTCATTCATGGCTGAGACTTTCCATCGGGAATAGTAATTTTTGCTGCTCTTTCAAGAGTAAGGCACTAAAAGCCTTTTATTTTATCATGGAGTAACTTGCTAGCATGCCTTTGTCTCTTTTTCTTTCCTTGCTTTGTTTTGCTTTTTTGAGACAGGGTCTTGTTATATAGTTCAGGCTGGTCCAAAACTCACTGTGTAGCCTCAGCTGGTCTCAAATTCCTGATGATCCTCCTGCCTCAGCCTCCTGAGGGGTAGGATTGCAGGTGCACTGCCTTTGTTTTTATTTATTTATTTATTTTTGGTATGGGAATCGAACTCAGGACCTTGCACTTGCCAGGCAGGCACTTGTGCTGCTGAGCTATCTCTGTTCCCTGCCTTTGTTTTTGATAAGTCTAAATGTTAGCATCTTAGGAGTCATTTTTCTCTGGTTATTAGGCTTCTCCAAAGTATACTATAAGGTTCTCTTGTATTTTAACAGAGTAGCAACAACAGAATGACATTAGCAGTATTCAAAAATTCAAAATTATTCTGAATCCATGAAGGAAAAGTATTTCAGACCATACAGTATAATCACAGAAATATCAAATTTCTTATCATCTAAGTGCAGTTCCACATGAAAGAATACGATCAGTTTGGGGATAAGAGCGAACCAGAGCTGTACCAAAGAGAAAAGTCAAACTAGTGCATTCCTAGTAGAAGAGGCATTCTGAAAACAACAGCTTGTCATACTATGCATATTACTTTAAAGCCAGTGCAAAACAAGTATGGCAGATTTTAGAAAACAGTTCATTATTGATTTCTACTTTGTCTCATATAGCTATTTGTTTGACTAACCTTTAATTAGTAAGATAATTTCCAAGGACTGAAACTTTTCTCTGTAATGTTAAATAAAAAAGTGGTATCATTCAGCTGGAAAAATAATAATATGTTTGAAAAAAATTTTTGCTGTGATAAATTTTTTCTTTAAAATAATTATCAAAATTACATTTGAAAAATCATAAGTTGTAAGACCATTTTTCCAGACTAAGGCAGGTGGAACAGAAAAAATTATGTAAATAATTTTAAATTAGCCAGTTTTACACTTGCTTTTTAACTATTCCTGATGAAAAGAAATTCACCTAGCCAAAAAAGTAATAGATAACAATAGATAACAAGAGACGTGCACTCCCCAGGAAATTAAATCAATCAATCAGTCTTGGAAATGGCATGAAAAGTGTTACAGAAACAAGGAAAACTGGTTGTTGTCCTCATCTATGAAATGGAATGCACTTGGCAATAGATTATGGGGTATTCCCAAAGGAAAGTCCCTTACTGATTTTCCTCCATCCTTGCTTTATTATAGTTGAGCTCAGATTTATGTAACACTTGCTTACTTTGGCTTTTAAATTCAGTGAAAAAGAAAAGACAAACCTGTAAGTGAATCATAATAAATGTTAAGGAAGGGAACATCCAAAACATGGATGAATTTGATAATCAATGCAAAACATGGTCTGATGATATTTGGGGGCAGATTACTATGAATTAGTGACATACTAGTAAATATTTAAAAGAAGTGGTTTAATTAATTTCAAAGCATATAAGAATATTAGCTGCTTACTTACATGTTTTTAAAGTAGAGACTGCACTTTACTCTTACTTGAGGCTCATCTATACATTAATTTTATATATGCAAATGATGCTACTTACATTCTCAAAAATAATTTGGCCCCTTACGTGATCCAACTAAAATCTCATTTACACTGTTAATTTGCCTACCAAATCAAAAGAAAATCAAAGATGTCTGAAGTGGAACAAATTCTAACTTAATATCATACAATTTAAGTGGCTGAGGGGAAATTTTAAGAAGTATAAGATGGAATATTAATCCAAATATTTAAAATGCTAATTCTATGTAGACACTGTTTTTGAAATGCTGTGAATTTTCAAAATATCAAAAATTTAAAAGTGTTTCTACAAATTTATTGAAGCCAAGAATGTAATGTATGTAATCACTTAGTAGGTTTTCTTAAATTTAAAAGTTTCCTATATTTATGATTTCGTAGAACTTTTAGAGAACACTTTCAAGAGAGATATAAAAATAAAAATGTTCAGTTAGCTTAAATAATTGACTTTTTTTTCTGTCTTATATTTATAGGCAAGATGCATTTGTTGAATACCTTGGGTAAGAAAGATTACAATTACTCATCTAACCTTGCCAGAAACAATATTTTGTTCATGTACAAAATCTATCAGGGATGTGTGAAGTGAGTTTACACTATTTACTAGTGGTAGATTGGGCTTTAAAACAGCTTTAGATATTTTAAAAGTTAATTCTTTTACCTTGAATAAAAATACACACATATACACACTCCACAGTTTGAATATATGAAATATGACTTAAAATGTTATACTTTAGTGATTTCAAAATTTTCAACTGAAATTTGGAGTTTCCTTGGCAAAAATGTGAAAAAGGGCTATTCTACTTCATTAATTAGGTCAACAAATTATGAACTTCAAAATCCAAAGGTGAAAAAGTCAAGACTGATATACATGATACTTATCTCAAAGGAAAAAGATAGAGCAAAAGATTTGAGCCACCAAAATTACTAGGCATAAACAAAATATATGCTTGAGAATGAAAAATTAGTACTAAAATTTTGGGACAATTACTTAAAACTTTTGGGAAAAGTCAACTGGAGGTAGGTAATGGAGAAAAACATAATTGAAATAAATGAAAATGAAAACATATCTGAATGTACAGTGTGCTAAGAAAGTCTTTAGAGAATAAATTTATAGATTTAATGTCTATGTTAGAAAGATAAAAAGTTAAGCTAAACATTCATCTGAACAAGCTAACAAAGAAGAATAAACCAAACTCAAAGTAAAAGGGAAAGAAAATAATGACAGTAGGAGAAGAAATCAGTGAAACAGGATACAAGGACAGCAAAATGTGCACCTTTGAAAAAGTCAATACAATTACTGAATGTTAGCTAGGCTGAGAGAAAAAAAAAGAAGATACAAATGACCAACTGCAGGCAGGAAGGAGGGGACATCACTACAGATGTTACCAACATAAAAAGGACACTGAAGAGGATGTTATAAAGAACTGTATGCCAGTAAGTTCACCACCTAGATAAATTTTTCAAAAGACAATTTACAATAACAGACTCAAGGGGAAACAAAATCTGAATATACTTTTATTTATTAAAAAATTGAATTTATAATTCACAATCTTGCCATCAAGACAAAACAACTCAAAAGAAAGCATCCAAAGTCAAGATGGCTTTAGGGTAAATTCTAGCAAACAATTAG